GCTATATGTTTATGTTATACATAGGCGTTGGAAGCAAATTGAAAGTTTGGGGATGGGTGCTAATTAAAAGGGGGGCTAAACCAACAATATAGGTAAACCCAATTTTCAATACCTATACATGTATTACATGTATGTATATATTTGCAAAAAAGTGGAGAGGGGGGGGGGGCTAAGCCCCCCTAAACCTCCCCCGGTTCCGACACCTATGTTATATACAGATAAAAACCATTTGACATCCACCTTGTGAATGGACTGTCAACTCATGACTGTATTCAAAGGATAGTGCAGAGATACATGTATGAGGAACAATGCATTTAGGCGCTAAAAACTCCATTTTGATGGGGGGGGGGGGGGGGGGGAGGCGTTCAACATCTTTGACCAATAGCAATCTCGATTATTTCCTAAATCTATCTCCGGAATTACCGGTATTTTCAGAATTTCTAGCAATATTTTCTTCCATCAACAGCTTGTTATATAGAAGGACTGATTAGAAATTATGTACATGTACTTCATTTATGTTATCTCAGGAATTATGCTCAATAATTCCGACTTTTTTTCTGTGTTTTCGGGGTTTTTTTGGGGAGTGAGTTTTATGTCTACCAAGTTTATGAATAATAGTTAAGTAAAAGAAAATCAAATACGTATACACTTCAATTATATTATGTCAGCAATTGCACTTTTTCCAAGACACATGATACTGATCACAAATTAAACATGGTTTTCTTTAAAAACGAAGCAAAGCTTATACATTTATTATTTTGATGTCATTGATTACCTGAAATTTACTCTTTCATAAATGTCGGAAAATTAAATTTAACTATAAATTTCCAATAAACTATGAAATATCGGAATGAAAAAGTAGTAGGAATATATTTTTTTCTTTATTACTGAAATAAAATGCAGTCAAATTATTGAGATAATCTGTTTATTCTCCATACTGATTTATATGAACATTTATTTCGGTCAGAATTGCATATCTTTTACAAACACAATCAATTTTTTTTTATGCCGTTAACTTCTATATTCTAATAATATGATGATCATAGGGATAACCGAGAAATTACAAAAGTATAGATGTTGAAAAAGCTGTATATCTATATACTAGTAACCAAATCTTGATAGATCCTTAGTGATTGATTAAATTTCATTGTATATACTATGTTTCTCAATCTGACTTTATTTTCCGCAAGTTTTTTTTTTAGATACACTATTCTTTATCTATAAGTGGACAGGTTTTCGTCTACATCGACTCTGCATGTTCATAAAATTCATTGCGTTCAATCGGATAATGAAGGCAAAATGTATTCTTTTGAAAACCTTTGGAAAAATTGTGGAAATACCTACTATATTAATTTCTCAATACATGTAACTACAGCTACAATTTATACATTTCCAAAGAAATCTTTTTTAGGAGTACTCCTTGATTTGCTCCACAAATAATCGGAATACTTCGGGCACCAGCGGGCAATATGTCGAGCACTGACCGCTACGTCCGAGAAGTTCTTGGCTTCTTTTCTAAGCTATTAAATTGTTTTTAAAAATGTGTTAAAATTCCATTCATGAGAAAAGAAATATGATGTTGCATTTCAATTTTTGGGGTTTTTAAATTTTTTTATTTATTTATTTATTTTTTGAAAATTCACCTTCAGTCAATATTTTTTTTCTTTATTTTATCAGACATGGCTATTAGTAATAAGCATGTGGGTGTAAAGATTCTTCAATTTTTGCTAGTTAAGGGTTTCTGATCTGCTTTAACATCTCTACCATAGTAGACTTCGGTTTAGGTTCCCTGCAAGTTTTGATGGAAGAGTGGGGGGGGGGGGGGGGATGAGTGTCGTTCTTTAACAGGAGCATAAAATGACACCTTGGCTGAAAAATCAAATAATTTTTTTCATTGTTAAGACAAGAAATTAAGTTTGTAACATTCCACATGAAAAAATTATTGAAACAAAATTAAAAGGGTTAATTAATCACCACCAATACGTGAATTCAACATTAAAGATGGTTGCATAAATATTTTGGCGAATTAAACGACAATCATTGCTACATAAACCGTGTAAATATTCATCTTCAAAACCACTTCTTTTCAGCACGTAATGGCAAATGCGCTGTGGGGAAAAGGATAACGTCATCAAAAAGTAACAAATGTAATGCTACTATTACGTCACAGTCGGCGCGATAGGCAAAGAGTTATAGCAAGTCAGTTTTTCCCATGTGTTCCTTGCTGTCAGTAGTTTTCTGTGGTTTTAAAACTTTTACACAAATGTTAAACTCATTTTCCATGTAGGTACGGACTCTGTTAATTACATATAAATCGAATTTTAATTAAATTATGAAGTGAAATCTAACCCACTTTCAAAATTTTAGCGTGATTGAATTTTAATACTTGATCGTTCTTTTTTTGTGCCTAGTAACATAAATAAGATAACATTATGTTGCATTCATTTGTTGAAATATATATTTACGAGATACTGTAAACCAAGTATTATACGCGTGCGATAAATATCCGCGAGTTCCGCGAGTAACCTCTGCTCGCGGATATTTATCGTCGCGAACCAGTTGTTCGTTTTCCCATGTTATGATTAGAGTTATTTACCCTTTTTTGAATACCGATCCCGACGGTTCAACAAGTAATCACGGAAGAACTTTAGTGTTCTAGAAGCAGTTGAAATTTAATTACAAACATTCAGAAAAAAGATATAAACGAATGGCAAATCTAAAACTATTTGTCTAAAAATGATTAAAATGTCAATAATTATTTCAGCTTGTGTTATTATTGTTCATTATTTTAAGGACGAGTTAGAGATAGCCTGGTTAATTACGACTAATTATGGCCCAGTCCTGCTCTGTCCCAACCATTTATAATAATTGCCCTTTGGCTATGTAGATCTTGTAAAGCGTCAATTACCCAATTAGCATGAGGTACTTTTACACTTGAGAGTTTGAAATCAACTTTAATTTCCTCGATTTTTTCCTGATTTTCATTCGAGCGTCGTGAATAATGCGTAAGAAGTATACTCATGGTAACATTTTACCTACTTTAGGTGCGGATATAAGATTTTAAATGGACGCAATGCACAGAATGTCTTGAATGATAATGCGTAAGCAGTACTCACGGTAGAATTTTACCTAGTTTATGGGCGGATATAAATTTTTAATTTGATACCAAAAATATATGTGGAGATAAAAAAAAAATATGACCACTTGTTCGCGGAAATAAATCGTCGCGGATTAGTTCTCTAGCGGTCAGTCGCGAATAAAAAATGACGCGTACAATAATTGGTTTACAGTATAGGAACACAAAAATGCACGAACGAAATAGTTACTTTGTTTTTTTTCCTAACAATCGTCAAAGAGAGTTAAATATCTTGAATATTGTCTGTTCCCGATTCTTTGACCCCGTTATTTCAGGTAGAGTGGGGACATTCTCCTTCTTTTGGTAAACACTTTTATATACAAAACAATGTAACACTGTGTACGAAACCCCTTTGTGTACATAACGACTCCAACTGAAGCAGTCTGTATGCTATTCCTATGAAAGATAACCCCATAAATCTGCACTTAGTTGGTCTTTTTGCACTGTTCATAAAACACAATATCGTATACAGGAACATTTTTAATGATTTACTTAGAGTAAATCTAGGAAATAATCTTTTTTGGTTATTTCATGCACTTATAAATCTACCTATCAATTATTTTATACTATATGTGCAACTTGAAAAATTAGTGGATGGACCTATTTTGATAAAGTAGACAAACTATTCCTTAGTCTAACTGAATACAGAACAAAGTTTTAACAATTGATATGAAACATGTAAGTCAAATTATTAGTGAGTGTATTGAGTGTTTTCCTATTTATAGAGACTTAATAAACCCAGGAAGTGATTTCAGATATAAGTTATTGCAAAACATGTTAATCTATTTCAATCTTGTTTCCTTGTTTACGAAATGAACGGAGATTTAACAATCTACTTATACTTTATCTTTTCTCTGTCTTAATTTTACGTTAGTTAGATTTAAAAGGAAATAAAGTGTATCGGAATTTAGAATATAAAAATAATAAAATAAGATGGAAATTAACTTGACAAATGTCAGTGTCTTTCATTCAGGCATCCTATTCCAAAAATAAAGAAAAGTTATTTAAAATAAAAGTAAAATAAAGTTTATCGAGAAAAGCAAACAGCCCTAAAAATTATTCATGCATATTTTTGGTCAATATAATATATGTGAATTATAAACACATCCTGGAGTTTTTATATTTTCGAAATCGAAAGGAAAATAATTTTTGTTTCACAAATTCACGACCTGTTTTAAAAGCAAAAATATATACCTATGAAATAGAAGGTTATTAGTGGGTAGAGCGTCTGTCTAGAGTCGCAAAGCAAGAAGCTTAAGTTGATCTTTACATCGCGGATCGAATCCCACTGTGGTACGTAGGGACTGTTCCATCGCATGAGACCATTTAAACTGAGATTCAGTGTCGCAGTAAGTACTGTCACGAAAATGACTCCTACTGCTCAACTGCCGTGAGTTCCGAGTGTACGCCAAAATATGCAGCCCTCCACCGGCAAGTGGTGGTGTCTCCATAAGAATGAGAAATTATCGAGAAGGACGTCAAACAACAAACATTAGATTTTAAAACAAGATAAGAAAGTTTGTCGTTACAAAAAATGATTCCGAGTTCCTTTGTCACTTTACCGTGAATGTAATCAGATAAAATCATAGATTTATAAATGCACATTTCTCTATGGCACCTAATCCCTCTAATGTTTATGATGTGTGTTCGCGAATTTGTACTGTTTAAATGAATTTTGTACTTGAGAACTCTTCGATATCTTCAGATCTCATGCAATATAAGAAGTTATCAGATTTATAGTTTTGGAATATATTGAAATTGGAATATAAGTTCAAAGTCATTTTGATTGCTTGGATAATTAAAAATATTTAAAACACAAATGATATTGATATTTTCCATGGAAAATTTATAAAAAAGAAATTACGTGGAGCCCAATGTTTCTGGTTCATCTGAGTACCATCTACCCATGTCCAGTTTCCAGAGGGTGAATTCATACCTCCAATGAAGTAGGTCAAATTTTCATTTAGATTCCCTGGAAAAAGATCTCTCTACAATAATTCTAACTCTTCACTACAAACATAATTATGCTGATTCATCTGTACGTTTTTTGTAGATAATGGATTTGTACTCACTGAGTGTACAGTTTTCACTGATGACGGTGGCTAGAGCTCCTCCTGCTTCTTCACATTCCCCGGCAGCCTTCTTCCAATTGCCCCATTTCTCCTCAAACAGATATGATTGTTCATTCTCTGAACAGGGATTCCATAAGCAGAAGATTTTGGAAACTTAAACAATAAAAGACTAATTAATTAATGAATCAAATTCACAGAGCTAGATAGTACCAAAAGAAAAGAGATAAAAAAGGTAAAGTTTATGAAAATACATACCTAGGAAACAGAATGAAAACGCAAGTATGATTTTAAACATGCTATCGTGATGAACAGACACAAATAAGGAAGTAGCGGGGCTAGAATGGATTGTTTCTTTTTCACGTTATGACTAAGGAGAGAAATATACGCACATATAATTCATATATTGTCCTTTTTTTTTACATTTAAAAGTTGTTGTTTTCTAAGCAATGCGCATATCTTTTTATTATATCATGTAAATAATTTCTTTCATATCCAATAGCAATAAAACATATTTACGTTGAGCTTTCAAAGCAGTACATTTAGCAGTAGAACTTCTCTCTCTCTCTCTCCCCCTCTCTCTCTCTCTCTCTCTCTCTCTCTCTCTCTCTCTCTGTGGGATCAATTTTACTCAAAATGTATGTAATAGAAGTTTTAGATTTTTTTTTAAAAAAAAAGCTTATTTTCTTCTTTTTTATAGTTCAGTGAAAATAAATTTGGATTTTTATCTTAATATAAAAATTTAAAAAAAAAAACAACTTTATGTTGTCAATTGTCCCTCGCTCATTTTTTTTTTCACTTTTCAGCTATTTATCCAAAAACTCAAAACACCAGTGACGGACCTGGGATTACATCAGAGAAGACAAAATATGTGTATTATGTAAAAATACTAATGAACTGTATAACAGAACATTTATCAAAGACCTATATATAATAAACAAATGCTAAGTATTTAAGTTTAATGTTTTATTCGAGTTGGCAGGTATTGTCCACAGTGGTCTACACAACAGTGGGGCAGCCGGCAAAATGGCATACCCCCAACATCAACATAAGTTGTGCCCTCCCTGACGGGAAAAGTAGCACGCTGGGTTGACCTCATTCGTGCTACGGACACATTTCAACACAAATTGTCTTTTAATTATATTATTTTGCTTTAGATTTACATTATATAAGATATAATTTTCAAAGTCAACATCACATATATCAACATCAATCATCACTTATATCAACATCAACCACAAAAAGTCAACAAAATCAACAGTTCAATGGTTAAATTGAAGGTGACGATTTCGCCAATACGACCACTGTGAAGTATAGCTACTGTCTTTTCCCGAACTCCTTGAAATCATGGATAAATCGCCAAGTTGACGCCTGTCATGCATGGTATTAGGTCAGAGATCATTCCAAAGGTCCTAGAAAACGGAAATAGCGGGCAATCCCGATCAGCACCGTCAGTCTCCTTCAACGAAATCTCTTAATACCTGAAAAGACAAAAACAAAACCACACAGCAGAAAAAGATTCTCAATAACATTTCCATAACTTTAATTAATTGGCTATACCTAACCCATGTAAAACAATGTATACGTAAATTAAACAAACAAAAGGAGAAAGAGTAATACTTAACACCTAGCTCAAGGGTTGAGGTGGGAGGGTATTTCATAATACAGAAAAATAAATCGGATACTTTCATCACCCACCTTTCACTTTCATTGATGCATAGAAAAGGGGAGATAACCCGTAAACCTAGTAACTACGTACTGACACTGCATGGATGGATAAATAAATTCCGGCTTATCTCATTTATTTAATTTTTCACAAAAAGGAGGTGAATGATGACATATAATCAAAGGATATATAGAGCTTAGATAACGACGCATATTATGAGATGAACTCAAATATGCGGTATTATCAAAGACCTATATATAATAAACAAATGCTAAGTATTTAAGTTTAATGTTTTATTCGAGTTGGCAGGTATTGTCCACAGTGGTCTACACAACAGTGGGGCAGCCGGCAAAATGGCATACCCCCAACATCAACATAAGTTGTGCCCTCCCTGACGGGAAAAGTAGCACGCTGGGTTGACCTCATTCGTGCTACGGACACATTTCAACACAAATTGTCTTTTAATTATATTATTTTGCTTTAGATTTACATTATATAAGATATAATTTTCAAAGTCAACATCACATATATCAACATCAATCATCACTTATATCAACATCAACCACAAAAAGTCAACAAAATCAACAGTTCAATGGTTAAATTGAAGGTGACGATTTCGCCACATGGGCACCGTAGGTGCCCACCGCCTTCATAATACAGAAAAATAAATCGGATACTTTCATCACCCACCTTTCACTTTCATTGATGCATAGAAAAGGGGAGATAACCCGTAAACCTAGTAACTACGTACTGACACTGCATGGATGGATAAATAAATTCCGGCTTATCTCATTTATTTAATTTTTCACAAAAAGGAGGTGAATGATGACATATAATCAAAGGATATATAGAGCTTAGATAACGACGCATATTATGAGATGAACTCAAATATGCGGTATTATTGACTATGTTCTCTGGTACATTGTCTTAGGTCGAACGGTCTCAGGCAAACGGTTTGGTTCTTGGGTCCAACAAAATGCATGTTGACCTCGATCTCAATAAATCATAAGTAAATAAAGTTGACAACTGAAAAGTTTAAGTTATCACATTTATCATAAAGCTTGATTGTAAGATATCATTAACGTCTTTAAAAGGTAAAATACTAGTATCCAGATATAAAACAGATGTTTAAGATTTTAATGCATCTTTTATACAAAGTTCACTCCTAGCATCTGATACTAACTCTGACGTTTTCGAAGTCTGTGTTTGCTCTGCTCCTATTTTGTATTGTTGACCTTTGATATTGTTCGTTAACTCCATATATTTCGTTATATAAAATCTCTTTTTTAAAATAAAAAAAATGTGATACTTCTTACGTTTATGAACGCGGGTGTGTGGAAATATTGCTAATTTTTTTTTAATTTCAAATAGGGAAATGCTTTGGTCATGGTATTATATTTTTAGGTCATGAATTGTGTTTGGACATCTTTATTCACGCGATCATGACAAGGAGGTATTCTAACTCCTCCATGACACTCATCTCACATCTGGTTGATCTAGGAATAAGTATTTGCTCTGAATTGTGAGAAAATACGTATTCCTATACACGGTTAACGCCGTATATTTAAGCATTGAATTCATATTTTTGAATCTCTTTGGTCATATATGTATAACACATCTGGTTGTGCCGAGAAATTAAAAACCGCGCGTTTGCGCGGAATAATATTTTGTCGGTACGGTCAGGTGAGTTATAGGACCAAAGACATCCGAAATATGAAATCAATACTTATATTTACTTTCTCCGTTTTTTTCTTCATAATTGCTTATTTTGTTAATCTTAGATGTGAATTTAGCGCCCTTCAAAACTGGCGTAGTAATGGTGTCGTTTCCCAGTTAGTATCTGGTAGGTTTGCGTCTCCACCTATCCAGATTGTTGAGGATTTGTATAAATCTGTTATCCGTCTGATGTCACTGCAGATTATTTGAGTATGGGAGTAATCTCTTTTTGGTTGTCGGTATAATGAAGCAATCACAATGGATGATTTGTTTGTCCCTTTAATTTGCACAGCCACAAGCTCACTGTTGAAGTCAAAACACTTGACTACTTATGAAATTTGACTTAACAGCTATTAGTACCCCATCATATCCATCCGCTTTGTCGTTTCGGTAGACTTTATATCCGGCTGGTACAATTTCTTGGTTTGTGATATTTGGCTTTAACCAACTTTCACATCCCAAAACAATGTCTGGTTGGAATGAATCCAGAAGATTCCAAAATACCTCACGTTTGGTCTTTAAATTTTGCAAATTAATTGTAAGTATTTTCATTGGCTCTGCTTTAGCTTTTGGTATATCATAATGACATTTTGGTGATGATGCATTGACAGGTTCGCCTATGGCGCTATTTACTGAGGAAATAGAAAAGTCAGATAATCATTCACGTGGTGAGCAGGTGAGAAGACGTGTTTTTGTTACTTGCTCCGGAAAATTGGCTTATATTTGTCTGTTCTAAGACAAATCTGTAAAAAATTTATGGGTGATTTGGATTTATAAACAAATTTTCTGTATATTTGTGAAGAATATCCAGGAAATCGCTGTAAATATGTGAATTTTGGATTATTCTGTGTATTTCTTTGTTTACCTTTGTTTACCTGGATTTAAAGCACCAGCTGATTTGTGTTCACGTAAGGACTCATACGATTAGTGATTAACTGTGGCGGATTGTAAATACAATCATTGACAATGGAGTCCAGTGTACAGATCTCAACAATCAAACCTGTTTATATCAAAAATTCAGAAATTTAGTTGGACCAAACAAAAAAAAATCAGCGATTTTGAAATGTACGAGGCGCTATATCAGAAGGTTGGAAATGAAGTTCACTGTACCCAACTAGAGCGGAATCTATGGAGAGTATACCTAAAAACAAAAGAATGTAGATCATTGCTAGCTATAGAAGGGTTTGTGGTTAGAAACATCTCTGTACAGGTGTATGATTCGAACCCCTACTCCACCGGAGCTACTGGTCCTGATGATAAGGTTTTGAAGGTTACCATATGTGGGCTACCCCTGTCCGTTGATGACAGCGCTGTCTTTGATATGCTCAAAACATTTGATGTAAATATCAGAAGTGAATTAAAATATGAAAACATCAGACACCCTGAAACACACTGTATGACCAATGTTTTGAACGAAAACAGATTTCTTTACATTGACCCGCTTCCTGATGGAAAATCTCTTCCGAGAAATGTCATCTGCGCTAAATTGAAATGCCGAATATACCATCAGAACCAGACGTCTATGGATCCCAAAGTGCAGTGTTTCAACTGCTGGGAAACTGGACATAGGAAACAGCAGTGTAAGAAGGGCAAAGTCTGTCGAGTCTGTAGGGATCCTGGTCATTCTCCAGGATCCACGGAGTGTCAGCACTATGTGGATACGTCAGATGTCAGTGAAGTGGTGGTATTTCAAGGAAAGTATAATCCTCTCTCTAATTTCTATCCGTGTGAGATAAATGTGTTCGGTGAAAAGCATAAATATGCGGAGCACGCTTACCAACTGACCAAAGCAATTCGTGCGGCCGATCTAGAGGCGGCCAAGAAGGTGAGAGAAGCTGATACGGCTTTAGAAGCTAAAAGGCTAGGACATACGATATCAGATCAGAGACGGTGATGGAGGAAATCGTTTCTTCAAAAGCTGACCAGATCCCAGTTAAAAGCCAAGCTTGAAAACTCAACAAGTAACACCATTTTTGCAGAGGGTACTTACGACATGCAGTG